TAGAAATAAAAAAAATGGTGTTGAACTTCTAGGTAATATCAATCCTCCTATATAATTGGAATGAATGTTGAACAATTTCTTCACAGATGAAGAGGAAACTTGAGGCAACAGACATGTCGTTCTACAGAAAGATGCTGATAATACCCAAAGTGAAGCATGTAAGTAATGAGGAAGTTTCATAGAAAAAGGAAACAAAACGAACAGTTGTATGTAGAAACAGAAAAAGACAGTTCCAATTTCTGGAACACATAATGTGTAAAGAGGGCTCAGAGAGTTTAAACCACACAAGACTTATTGAAAGCAAGAAGAATGGCTCTTGACTTTTGTATTGGTTGAACATTAGTAAAAAAAGGGGGGGGATAGGAACTTATGGAGAGCCATGATCATTCATGTCTTGAACTGATGCAGTATATAAACAAAGAGGAAGAATGAAAAAAAACTGTTTGTATCATTGAATCAGTCTCCTTTTGAAGCAGATATTGACTGGACACTTCAACAAAATCTGGGAACAAGATGTGTGAGAGAAATGCATAAGAAATGACTGGATGGCCAATCTATTTACTGTCAAAGTCAGATGTCAAGTTTTTATTAACTTGTCTGACCTGACGAAACTCAGATTGTCACCAACAGAAACGAGGAATGATATTAAGTATTTCCCACATTGATCATTTTGAAACAAAACCAACAAATTCTGGTGATATAATGAGGTATTACTGGGGCACCCTGGATTAGTAGTAATGAAGTTTTGGCCTTGATGCTATGCCAAACTTTAGGGTCACTATGTGATTAAGAAGGCTAAAGTGGAGACACTGTTGCTGTTTTTACAATAAGATTTGTATGAACTTATGAGATATTTAAAACAGTGTGTGTGTATATATATATATATATATATATATAATGAGCAGGAGGTATAAATTGACGTTTAAATTATGCAAAAATTAAAACAACACCAACATCTAATTTTAACAAATATATTTAACAAAATTACATAAAAATATCTTGAAATATTAAAGAGTAAATTTATTCAATAAAATTGCCATTGGCATCAACCACAGCCTTCAGATAACTTCAGAATCTCCTGCAACTCTTCTGGACAGTCTCCTTGTTGGTGAATGCTGCCATAATCCTTGCGTTCAGCTCACTTTTGTTGTTACTAGTTTTGTTGGTCTCTTACTTAACTGCACCCCACACGTAATAATCAAGGGATGTTGCAATCTGGAGAGTTAGGTGGCCAGATATAAGGGTTGATGTGGTCGCATAAATTGTCTGACAGCCATGACTGGGTTCTTCTGCTTGTGTGACATGGTGCAGAGTCCTGTTGCCAGATATAAAATCTTCCAGCAGTCACACTTTTGCCCCAGGGCAGCACTACCTCCTCAAGGCACTTGAGGCCTCTGTATTGAGTTTGAGGTCCTGTGGAGGCATAACGTCACCATCACTAGTAATCACTCCAAACACCATGATGTTGACTGGACATATCATCCACTACACTGTCCTGATTGACACCCAGACACTCTGAAATATTTGTATTGGAGCTTCTGGTGCAAATGCCAAGCAGATGTTTCCAAATTTCTGATGGAGTGAATTGTGTCATGGTGCTATTTTTATCACAGACAGTGCCCAGCTGACCCTGCTATACTGTGCGGTCGACAAAACCAAAAACAAACAATGTGTATGCGCAAAATTAAAAATATAAAATGACGACAATTTACCCATCGCACCCTGTATCATTTCATCTCAAACAAGGCAATAAAGCCACTAAGACAAAGGAGGTAACTGAGTGTGAAAGAATAAAAGGAAACATTATTAAGGAGCAAGAACAATAAAAGAACAGAAATTTAAAAGACAGACATATATGTATCATTCTTATTCAAAACATGTATGTATCATTCTTATTACTCAAAACTTTACATGTCTATTGAGTAGACAATTTGTATTCTTTTTTCTTTTTAGACAGTGTAAATAATATCTACTATCTTGGGAAATCAAAAGTCTTAAAGAAAATGTGTCCCTCAGAAGGGATTGAACTTGCATTCCCCTTACCTTTAAGCTAGGTATGCTTCAGACTGCATATCAATACAAGACCTCACAGCAAGACAAGGTTTGTTTACCCTTTTAAAGAGTATGTGCATCTCTCATTGGTACATTCAAAGCTTAGATCTGATAACTTTATATCCATATCCGTAAGAGTAAATAAAGTAATTTCTAAGGAATTAATGGAGTTTTGGTATTTGTGGGTTATCTGTTGCCACTTTTTAATTTGTGTATTGGTGATTTTTATAAAGTTAAATATGGTATTTAAAATGTTTTATACTGGTTTTTAAATTGCTTCTTTTTTTTCAGACTGCTAAATTAATCTTTGAGATAGTATATTTTAACACATCTGTTCTTGTGAAAAAATTGGAAAATTAATTTAAAAAGTGGCAACAGATAAGTACCAGATTTTTTAATCTGACATTATTTCTTATACTAAACTTTATATTCAGTGGATATATACAAATTGGAGTAAATAAACATCCTTTTTTTAAAAAAAAACAAAGCCAAACATTGCAATTGACATTTATTGGTTTCAGCAATCAAAAGTTTTAAGAAAGAAAATATTTCTCTCAGTAGTGATTGAACCTGTGTCCTCTTTATATAGAGAAAAGCACTTTTAACTTAGATGAGTTTCAGACTGATATGCTACCACCTAAGAAGTGGAATGAACAAATTACAAAAAGGTTTATTTATAAAACTACTCTGGAGTCAAGGTGCTGAATATAACACCAATCATCTAAGGGACAAATTTTATATCTGTATTAATCATATATATACATACACACACACACACACACACACCAGACTCATCCACTATACAAATGTGACACATCTATATACAGTAAACTTATCTGGTGACATAGTAGAGAGAAAGTTTTATGTAATGTTATATTGATAAATAAGCAAAAGGTGCCTTAAAATTGTCAAATTAAGTACACAATTATTTGAAGGTATCTGTTTATAATTCTGAGATGAGGTAGTGCAACTATTTATGATATTCAAACTGTTGTCCTCATCTTTATTGTCATATTCAATATGTTTTGGCCATTGTAACGCTCTGGCCTTCTTCAGGTGATATACGTTGTATTAGCTCAGTGGATAACCTGGCCACAGCAGAGTTGAGTTACTAAAGGAAATGAACTAAAACTGAGATATCCAGAAAAGGCATGGCAAAATCTACCCCTGTCGACTAAATAAAGAGTTCAGTTCAAAAATCAAAACATATATCACCTGAAGAAGGACAGAAAAACATCATGAATAGGACAATAAAGATGAGGACAACAGTCCAAATAGTGTAAATAGATGAAAATATTTCTAAATATCTACAGAAAAATTTACCTACAAATGTCTATCAGTGTCGATTATCCAGAAATAGAGGCTGCAACTGAATTATCATGATATCTTATTTGGGATCATTTGATCATATTGATCTAAGATTTAAACAAAAGTTTTTTTTTTTTGTTTGTTTTGTTTTTTAAATGATACTGTAACTGCCCAACACAGCAAGAGAGCCTGATTAAAAGGTGACTTCAAACAATGAAGAATCATTAAAAATGTAAAGGATTTTGAAATATCAACAAACTCAATTACCCTTATCTTCTTCAGTATTAGCATAGATCTTACATTTTGGTTTCATTTGTTTAATGGCATATCAACTCCCTATGGAACATTTAATGCCAACATTTAATTTCCTTCAGAGATTTGATAGTTTTTTCTTTTACTGTTAAAATCTATTTTAACTATAAGAATGTATTTTTACACTTTCATAGTATTTTGACCCCATTTTGGGGGGTTCATTCTTTGACCATAGCTGGGACCCTAACAGGTGCTACCACCACAGGTCAGGGTGGATCTGAGAACAACAGAAATTAAGAGGTGATTCCATGCTCCTCAAAACCTCCCGATCAGAGGCCTTGCTGCCAAATGTAGTCTATCGTCATACCCATGACAGATCTTACATTTGAAAAGACACATACAAAGACATACTGCAAAGAAAAGTTGAATGTGTAGTTCAGCCTTTCCACAATGGTCTGGAATAAAAGTGTGTGGTTCAGATTTTCATCTTTAAAATCACACATGCAAACATATACTTAGAAGACATCATATATTGGTGAAATGTGTGGCTCAGTATTTTCATGGAACACAACTTTAAAATATCATATGTAGATACATACTGGAAAAAAACATTAATACGATTAATGTGGGTTAGAATTTTAACAAAACTTAGATTTATAAACAGAGATATGAAATTGAAAGCATGATAGCGAGAAAGTATAAAATGTGTGTTTCAGCATTGGCATGTACATTTAAAAAACATTCAAATTCACACTGGTTAGTAATCATTTTCATTTGATGAGTGTGGTTCAGTACTTTCAGCTGAATGAAATATAAAAATTCCCATGCAATTAAAGAATGAATAAAACCATACTCATATGATATGCAATTTTGTATTTTCACAAGTTATATTTAATAAGACATAGGAAATTCTCTCTCTCTCTCTCTCCTTCTCTCTGCAGAATAGTCATATTGTTGTGAGGTGCAACTTCCAGCATTTTTACTAAATTTTAATTAAAAGTAACTCGTAAAAACACACTACAGCAGTAGCCTATTCATGCATGACTCTGCATTTTTATAAAACTGAAAAATGTCACAAAAAAGTTTAAAATAAAAACCGAAACATAGTGTAGAATGTTTTCTTGTGATGTGTGCAATACTTCAAGATTTACACCAATTCACAAAACGGATGAAAACAGAAAATATCTTGAATAAATTTTGAAAGTGCAGAATTAAAGTGAAAATGAAATGATCAAAATTTCTTGTCTGTAAAAGCAAAGATGATTGAAGCAGGGCATGAAAGACACAGTCATAACAGACAGACAGACAGAGATATTACCATAGACAACAATTCAACACATTAAAAAAATGATAATCACTTGTTAAAATAAAAGAGTAACAAAACTCACCTGTGTTTGTCCTCGCTGAAACAAAGCAGAACCATGAAGAGGACGAAAGAGATCTACTTGACAGCTGATATCCCTGAGGTCTTGAACACCACGCCCATCACACCTGTTAGACAAATAAAAATAAAAAATGACTTATTGGCACTCCTATTTGGATCAGGTAGAATAAAATAATTTCTTTTCAGATTTCCCATTTAAAACACACAAGATAATCTTTTTATTACCTATTTTGAGAAAAGAGACATTTCTTTCTAATCAATTCACCCCAAGCAAAGCAATAATGCCACAAAGACAAGTAGTTACTGGATGTGAAAGAGAATGAAACAACTTTAGAAGGAACTGGAAACCTAATCCTAAACAGGAAACAAGGAATAAACTTCTACTCCTGTTCAAAAGGCTAGGAAGGAGTATGCTCCAGATGATAGGCAAACCTATCCTTATATATATATATATATATATATATATATATATACATACATACATACATACACATGTATGTGTACTAGCTAAAAGCTACCCTATAAGGTGGCATTTAAGCTAGCTCCTGCAGAGGTCACTTGATTTGGTCTTTGGCTTGTTCAGGAGTTTGAAAGTCCCTAAGTCTTTGCATATTCTCAGCATTGGAAGCTCTCCTGGCTACCGTTTGATCTGGGTTTTCATTTGCACGGGGCTTTCTCTTCTTCACTGCAACCTTGGCTCTTTTGATTACAATCTGGTCCTCTGTTGGCAGAGATTTCTTTTTGTGAGGCATACTGCTGCCATATGCAATAGGCAACAAACAATAAACTACAGAAGAACTCAAAATTGATTGCTTTATTTAAGTATTGCATTAATATTTAAATTTACCTTTTAAAAGTTCAATAATAATTCTTCTGCCACCAAAAAATTTGATGTAAATAGGTCCTTCATTTCTATACAAACTATTATTTTTATTTCATGGGTGACTTTTGCTGGATTTCACAATTAATTTTGATCTTTCCCAAATTTTTTGTACAATAACAATTTATAAAAATTATTATCATACAAAAAATTGTCATCACAGAAAACAATTGCAGTAATGAATTCAACATTTCTGTAACATGAGCTACTGAAAGTTAGAGTTATGTCCCTTTAATTGAAAAAGTGTAACACACTGACATTCACATTTACTATATAGATATATACAAACACACACTTTCACATACAAGTCATCATGTCTCCTAAGAGAAAAAAAAGGATTTGAGTCAGAAATAATTTCTGGCATTGACAATAAATTGATTTAAATTTAGTAAATATAAAACAAGATAAAGTTTCAACATTACTTGACAAAAACTGTCTTAATATCGCATTGTTGAAAAATAAATAAACTCTGTGTACCTGCATGTAATTAATTGTGTGATCTCAGGTCATCGAGAAAAGAGGGATTGAAATAAGTGAAGAGGTTGGGAAAAAATAAATCTAATAAGCAGGGGATGTTAGAATAAATGTGGGAAAAATCTGAGAAGTGTGTAAGAGTAGTTTAGAATATAGTTTATTTAACCTTTAGCATGTTGGAGGTGAAAATTGTCATTGTCATTTCCAGAAATAAGAGTTGACAAGTATTTATTTATAGCAACTGTCTCAAGGTGACAGAATGTGCCTACAGTGTGCAAAAGGAGAAAATTATACAGCAACAATTTTTGCCTCAAGCATACTAAAGAATAAATAAAGGAATTGAATTGCAAACATACTGCAAATTATTTGAAAGAAGTCAAATGAAATTTTTTCTACATCAAAATTTTTGCCATAATATAGAACATACAAAGTGTCTTTCATTTGTTCTTTTCTTCATGAATTGTTGTACATTGTTGAGTACAGCCATGAACTGATTGTGAAAAGGTATAAATAATGTCAAGATTACTCATCAAGTACTACAATTGTTCTTTTCTCAGGCATATCTTTGAAATTATTTTTTAAATAATGAGGAAAGATAGAATGTCGCACAACTAAAAGGTTTTGATTTGTTGTGAACTAAATGAATTATAATTTAAAACAAATAACATTTGAAAATCTGAATGATTATTTTCTTCAAATTTAATTTTTTTCTAAAAAGCTTCCACAAAAATAAATAGGTTTGACAGAATAAGAGTTGGGGATTGAATGATTTTCAAAAATAGATATGCTGAGGTGGGTATAAGTATTAATGACCAGAGAGTATACATCATCATGTCAAATATCCAAAGTGAAGCCTTTACCACAAATTAATAAACAAATTAAACAGCCTGCCTAAAACTTGTTTGCAACACTTTGCTCCAAAAAGATGTTTTTTTTTTATTATTTCGTCTTAAAACACATTTTAACTTAACACAGATTATAATATAATAATGGTAATAGTAGTATTTGCTGTTTCCTTATAAGGAAACATTTGGCATTCACTGACAAAGCAGACAGTAGTACCAGTATTTATGAATTGTCAGCAAGGTTTCATCATTTTACAGTTCTTATTAAGTTAGAAGTGAAAACTAAAGAACAACAAAAGCTTTTAGACACAGTTCCAATATAATAATGATAATGGTAATATTAGCCATTTCCTTATAAAGAAACATTTAACATTCATTGACTGAGTAGCCAGTTCTACTTTTGGTTAAAATTAATAAAATCTTTCTCTTAAAACAATTTATCAGGAAAATAGGTTTCTAAAGTCCAGTAGCTATTATTGTTCTTTCCAGTATTAATGAGGAGTTTCCTTCCTAAGCTTTTATTTGAAGTCGTGTGGAACATCAACATCTTGATCATGTCATTATTTTCTCTTCAAGTTACATGTGATAGTCATTTTAGTTGTTGCTGCTTTTAAAAGTACTCAAGTGATGTGGTTTCTATTATTTGGTACAATTCTTTTTTTGTGATTCTGTAAACCTAGTAAACAAGGTTTGAAGAAGGATGGTCTTTGTCAAGACCCTTAGCTTTCATCTGTCCAAAGCCTTTTTACCAATTTATCTTAGAAAGTGGCTGTATACAGCTGACATTTTAGAAAGTTCTGAATAGATTTGGCACTATGCATATCTATATGTAAAGTCTCGCTCCAATGAGGCTATTTAAAAACATGATGTGTTTTCATATTAATGTTTTGGTTTTGCAGCAGTTAACAGTGTTAAATGAAACTCCTATCACAGCTTATTCTTTCTATGTTCAATTTCCTTTTCTCCTATGCTATATTTGTTATAACTGATACATAAACTGAGGTATTTAAAATGTATAGTACTTACTAAATCCACATCCTGAATCGTTAATGATGGATTCAAGGTATGTTACAAATAAACTACACTAAAAAATGATGCTTCTGGAAACAATAGAAACAGCGGGTAGTATAATTATATTGAATTTTCATCATTTTATAATAAATTCTGAATAAGTTTACTAAACAGGAGTTTATACTGTTTACTGAATATTAAAAAGGCTGGTATTAGCGTTATAATTCAGTTAGCTCAAATTTTGTTAATGAAAAATCATCAAATTAATTTATAAGCCAGATCAAATTGTCAGGTGCGGTTTCAAGTAGAGGCCATCAACTCAACAAATATTACAAAAAAAAAAAAAAAAAAAAAAAAAAAACAACTTAAAAAGGTCAAAACATTTGCATTATAAATTATAGGGACAAGTACTTTAATCAATACATTTTGGCTAATATGTTCTTTGTTTCTTCTCCTTGTCTAAAATTCTGAGAAGTTTCATTGTCATTATGACATCAGTTATTGTTGGATCTTAACCTTTACTCAGTTTTGTTTTGGCTTATTTTATCAGTATATCAACCTTCATGGAGCTAAATCTCCATTATGGATTAATTCTGTAGGATCAAAAGAAATGATAAGAGTAATATCTTTTCACCAGACTAAGTCAAGATTTACAATGAGGTAATCCTGAGAGAATTAAAAATTCTAACAGGATCATTATTGGTGGCCACAATCTTAACAACACTAGATATGCAGATGGCACAGTGTTGATAGCAGACAATGAAAGGAAACTAGAGGAACTACTACAGAAGGTAGTAATGAAAAGCAAGAAGAACGAATTGTACATTAATTCTAAAACAGAATATATGGTTACAAGAAAAGGAACAGCTATAAATGGAAATTACTAATTTGAGGTACCAAAATCAAGCCAGGACAAAAATTTAAGTATATGGGAAGTGTTTTAACAAAGGATGGAAAATGTGACACTAAAATCTGAAGGCACATTAGAATAGCAAAAGTTGCCTTCTAAAAGCTAAGCAAAGTATTATGAAACAGGAAAATTTCACTATTAACAAAGAAAAGACTACTGAACTGTTATGTAATATCAGTCCACTTCTATAGTAGGGAATGTTGGACAATCACATCAGAGATGAAGAAGAGACTTGAGGCAACAGAAATGTGGTTCTACAGAAACATGAACCTGAACAAGTAACAAGGAAGTTTTAGGGGAAATGAAAACAAAAAGGAAACTTGTAGATAGAATCAGAAAGAGATAGAAATGCTTTAGGGCATATTAATGAAGAAAGAGGGCCTGGAGAATTATGCAATTACAGGACATACTGAAGGCAAGAGAGAGAGATGCAAGCTGAGAATAACATTAGCTAATGAGTTTGTGTAGATTGTTTGTAGAATAGAGATTAGGAGAATCAGCAAAAAATCAAAACTTACTAAAAGCCACAAATAACAGGAAATTGTGGAGAGCCATTATCACTCATGTCCTATACAGACACAGTACATAGATCATGATGAGGAGGAAACTATGTGCAGTGAGTCCAATGCAAAATAAGTAAAAGAACTGTCCAACAGAATTGACAAAGTTTGCAATAACAAGAAAAAAAAGAACAGGGCAAAAAAATAATATAAAGCAAGAAAACAATATATTCAAGGTAAATTAACAGTAACATGGCAAAAGAAATCTAGTATGACCAAAAGTTCACAAACTAAGAATTGGTGTTGACACACAAAAGCAAGTTCTGATTTTGAGACAAGAGAGACCGGGACTGTATTAGATGAAACTGAGAACCAGCATATTTTATGGGCTAGGAATAAATCCCAGCATGCATTTCTGCCTATAAAATGGGGAGGGGAAAATATTTTGCAGTCATTCTGCAATCCATGAGGATTGAAACCAACACAC